TGCGACATCAGAAATTTATTTGGGGGGGATTTTATGATTTTGGGGGGGATTCAAGCCATTCAAGCCAGTGGTTGGTTGAAAGCATATAAAAGATTAATCAGATAATTTTTACGACCTCCTTAATTTATTACTGGGGTAATTATGAAATCAAAATCCCGTTTGACATTTTATCTTGATTAATAAATCATTTTATAATTGCTATAAAATATATAGATACTTTTATGTGGATTTCCACTTTCTGACTCGTATCATGTTTGACAGTGAGAACAATTCCATGCCAACTGCTGTCAAAGGATTATGGTTGGCTTATTAAATTGTATTTGCAATTTGAGATTGTTTTTACCTTTCATTATGAACTCATTCTCAAATAGCCTCATTGCCTTGAGGACCTATTGATGGTTTTTTAGGTTTGTTTATTATAATATATTCTTGATTCATAAAAAAACAGTATTATGATAATGATAATCATTTTGCTATTTTTACAACATGAACAACAACATGAAAGCTTGTGATAGTATTTTGGCTCTCCCAAATAATTATGCCTGGGTCATTTATTCATTGGAAGAAATTGACATACAGTACTGTGACATTTAATTAAGGTTTTTGATAGGCTATGAGTTTACGTTAACTTCAAGAACTGAAACACATGATTCTGGATTAATTAAATTGTATTTGTTATTGTCTTTTCTTGAATCTAGAAAGAGCTTCAAACAAATTTTACTAGTCTTAGAATAGATATATAATTAATTTTTTACGCCATACTACACTATTTTGACGAACTTCCCATGCAAGGATTTAGTCCATAAAACAGCTTTTTGTCCCTATTCAATGGGGTTTCATACAGTAGGCCTACTACTGTACTGTAATGAGTTTAGCTTGACACCAATCAGCTGATTATACTGTATTTGGGTGGCAATGAGTGGTTATAACAAAAATATAACCTCTGACTAGTGATTTTTAGTCCTTTAGTTGGTAGTAATACAGGGATTTGAACGGATTTAGTAGTATGGCGTAAACTATCGTACGTCACTCGTCCAAAATGTGTTGGCCGGACTCGTATAAAAAAAAAAAACACTACTCGACTTCGTCTCGCACGGGATTCAGGACTAGTAACGTAATATAATATTTTACCACACTATGATGTTTTTAACTGTTTTACATATAGCCTAGATAGGTACATTAATTGGTGGCTGAAAGTTACGTTTTGCAGGCCATGCTAGCTGTCATCGTCATTCGGGGATCGAGCAGGTTATTACATCCCTAGGGCCGCAAAATCAGCTGCCCGCTTTAAAAACACAATCAGTATCCATAGCATTGCAATAGAGTTGTTTTATTGGGTACTTTCCTGTTAAAGGGAACATTCATTATTATCGATGATTTATTTTCGATATATCGATATTTTTGTTTTCCATCCGATATATTGATAGTAACAAATTGAAACATATCAGCTGACAAGTGCGATATAGGATACAGTAAATAAATATTGTTCAGTATCAACAAACAATTAAAAAAAAATATTAGCCTATATTGAAATGAAACTGTTCTAAACTAACCTAACCAACCAAACTTGCTGTAACATTTCAAAAATCCGTTTGATAGCCTATTCCCCATATAACTTTTCTCTTCTGTTATCAAATGGAATTTTGAAACGGTAACTTAGCCTATACAGCAAGTTTGGTTAGTTATGTTAAGTTAGTTTAGATTAGTTTCATGTCCTAATCCAATATATAGGCTATTATTTTTGCCTAGACAAGGTTAGTTCTTAATTTGCAATTTAAATGCGTTTGAAGATATTAAAACAGAAGGAATACCAATCGTGAAGTAAAACAAAAATATCGATATATCGAAAATAAATCATCGATAATAATGAATGTTCCCTTTAACAGGAAAGTACCTTTTATTGTCACCGCTACCTAGCAACTATTTATTATTATTTTACCTAACCCGCCATGTTAAACTTCCCTATCCTAAGCGTGATGTATACAACTTCCTTACTTCTCGAGTGATGTAAAGTATCAAAAAACTCACTCGGCGATGTAATGAAACCCATTTAAATAACATTGAGTGGATAACTTCAAAATTATACCTCTATGGAGCCAACGACGTTCAACGCTAGAAATCAGCTGTGCGCTTGAATGTTATTGTTATGCTTTAAAGTATTTTCCTAACCTAGCTTTTGTTTGTAAAAGAACGTTACTCTTAGAAGATAAGTGAAATGGATAGTGAAAAATATTGTACGTAGCCCCGTGTATATTGTCGGGTCAGGTAAAATCTTGTACGTTACACGTTACGCAAGAGCGTGTTTACATCACTTAGGTGAATTATGCAACTCGCTTACGCTCGTTGCACAACATTCACTTGCGTGATGTAAAAACGCTCTTACTACACTTGTAATGTAAATAGCTATTTTCTGATTCCTTGAATTATTTATCCACATGTCCTTAAAGTTGTAGTTGTGTTGACTATATCAGTCTGTAGTGCATTATCATTGAGGTGAATTAGTGGTAATAGGGTATAGTGTGGGGTGGTGAATAATAGCGTTCGTACCACGGACTGAAATGGTTTTGCAGTTCTCGATCGTTTTAAGTCCTCGACCTCGTACCTATCAAACTTAAAAACTACCTCGAACCAGCAAAACCTCATTTTGGCCCTAGGCACAAAATATACTACCTATTATGTTCAGGCCTAGTCATATTTTTGAGACTGAAAATTTTACACCTACAGGACCAAACTCCGAAGTGGATTGAAGGGCAATTTAGAAAATATCTCAAACTTTTTGACATAACTTTAAGTACTTTCTCCCCTAAATTTAATATGGTAAAAGAATTGTTTATGTAAAAAACCCTGATCCCAAAAAAGTGGTTTTCGAAGTGATGCGTGTGTGTATGTGTGTATGTATGGTACAGAGCTACAGACCACGCCTGTAGCTGTTTGATGAAATTCGGTACCTATTTTAAGTACCAATCCATGGTCTCTCCAGATGTTTTTTTTTTCATTTTGGATTTTTAATAGTAATATTCCATAAAAACCTATAAAATAATGGATGAATAAAATTTTCTCAGAACTGGCCCGAACGATTTTGATTAATAATTAACATGTTGTACTCTTTGACTACAGGTATGACAAAAATTGTATAAACCCTCTATGCCGTAAAAATTATGGTTCAAAAGTTATTGCAACTTTGTGATTTTCCCTTTTAAAACCTATTAATTCATGGAAAATCGGATTAAAAAGAAAACTACATGGCCAATTTTGATTTAAATTTGTGTGCATGTTAAAAATCCAACTCATTTAAATTAAAACTAAACTAACAAATAGTTTGCTACTAGAGTTTTAAAGGAAAATTGTCCATTTAAATTGGGTTAAAAGTTTGATTCAAACGCTTAAATTCCCATAAATTTTAAGAAGTGTCGGGGGCACCCCTTCCCTACCCGCATTATAAACATAACTATGGGTTAGCCCCCAGACCTTAGGCATGGGTTAAACAACAAATTTGGGGGGGATTCTGCGACGTGAGCTTTGGGGGGGATGGGCACCTCTGTTATTCCCTAATTTAAATATAGCATTAGTTTAACAAGTACTTAGGTCTGTTGCAACAGGTAGGGTTTAAAAGAGGTTTAAAAAATGTTAGTACATGTAGTTTAGTATGAAATAAATGCATTTTCAAAATTTGATCAAAATATGTTCATAAACAAGCTAACTACAACAGTTTACTTATTCTCCATAAGATTAAACATAGGGATTTTAAACTGTTCGAGTTTTCTCCGTAACCAGTAAGCGCATAATAATGCTTCAATATATTAAATAATTTGTTTTTTAACTCTACAAAATAGTTTGGAAAGAAATTTGCAAAATGTTATGTTGTCATTACTTTTTATGGATCGCCATATTGGCAATGGAAAGGTTAACAAAAGAATCAATGCATCTGCAGTTTGTTTAGGTAAATTAACGCAGTTTTTACATTTCCTCATTTCCGGTGTAAGTTGCTGATACAAATGTACTACAACTCATTTAACTTAATATTTCAAAGTGTAACAATAAACAACGTAAAATCGTTATTTGGGTTAATCTGTTTGTAACACTAAGCTAGCAAGTTAAATGAAAACTATGTATATCCATTATAAATTTCAAATTAATTTCTGATTGAAAAAACGTTGGATGGATACCATAACTAACTATCCTCAAGCAAAGTTTGGCCTAGATAGCAAGTTTTAACTACTTTCTTGTACGAAAAAAACAGTATAATAAATCACAATACAAATGTGAAAAATGACAAATTATTGTAAAGCCTTCAAACGGCAGAACACAATTGATATACAGAAAATAGTTGAGATAGCATTGACAAATTTGAAGGAGACTGCAGCTGCAGGCGCCGTGGATAGAAGTCGTTCGGAGTTTAAAAAAGAACGACTCTTATTCTGGACTCAACCGAGCTGTTCAGCAAGAGCTGTTCACTTTCAATTTGAATCTCCCGCTCTTTGTCGATCTGTTTTGCTTGTCGACATTTTGCGTGTCGATAAAGTGGGAAAATTTACACAACCGTCCCACATAACAGACATCCCACATAACCGACATCCCACTTTACAGACATCCCATATTACCGACACTGTCGACATTTTGAGTTGTCGACATTATGGGACTATTTCAGTGTCGATCTTTTGGGATGTCGATAAACTGGGACCCCACGAATATGCTAAGCACATCACTGTTGTCGGTATATAATTAATTATTTTTGTCTATGATTGTTATGGGATTATGTGTTTTATCCATGGATAGATCCACATGGAAGTATTTTAATTGATGGTATTGTGAGTACAAACTTATCACTACAGGATACAAATAGTAATAAGTTTGTATAGTGCGTAAGCAAAATATAAGGCTTAACCCTTCGGCTTTTGGTGTTGGACAGCCTGCCAGTCACATGTGTAAAAGATAGTGTTTTCGTTTTCACTGAATTAAAAAAATCTATAATCAGTCAGTCAGTCAGTGATCAGCAGTAGGCTAGGCTACAGTAAGAAGCACTGAACTGCACTAGCCAGTGAAAAGTCAATTCACCGTAAACAAGGATGGTTGTCAGAATTATAATTTTTAAATGGCCTAGGTCATTTTGATGTTTTGAGCAAATGTTTATTTGCAATCTAATTTAGTTTTCAACCATAAAAACATGCCTGTCATTACAATAGTATTTGGTTTATCGCTATGGTATGTAGCATAGGCTAGGCCTATTTATGAATTATCTGGCATTTACTTAGTTACCTAGTCTAATCATTTTCCGCACTAGCGCGAGCCTACTGCATGAATAGTGTTTAGAAGTAACTTATTTCTAGGCTTAAGTTAAAGTGCAATCCAATGTGAAATCACTCAGGGTTGAACCTTCTCAGACCAACCAGACTCAAAATTAAAGCTAAATAATGTTTACTTGTTTTCATTCACTCTCTCAGTGAGGCTTTACCAGTTGTGTTTAAAGTTAAGCTATGCTCGCAATTTGAAACTGTACTAATATACGTAGTATTCTATTTATGAGCAATGACAGGCCTATGTCCTAAGGTAGTTTTAAAATAAAATCCTACTAGAAGTTATACTCCTTTGATGAAGTAGGTTTCACCAGTAAAATAGCAGCCTAATCGTAGATATTTTCAGAGAAAACCAAATAATCGACTCCTTGATATAGGTAGTTAAAGTTAGGTACCGGTAATTAATTTGAGTATTCATAAAACATTGTTATCATTCATAAAATACCTTGTTGCAGATGTGAGTGTGAGGGGTTTCTTTTTGCGATGCGGAAGAACGCCTTTGCTACCCTATTTATTGTCTCTGTCATCTCGTACGCAACAGTTTACTACCTAAGCAGTCAAAGGCCTCAGCATCAGCATTTGGTAAGGCCACATGTCAAATAATTTAGGCTAACTTATTTATCGTTCACTGGACTACCTTACAATGTAACGATAATAGATTACATGTCAGATTGTACAAAGGTATTTAAAAGGAGTAAACTTAAGTTTAGTGCACATTTATATTATAATGACTATTTTGTGGATGAGAAGATGACAAGTTTATATTTTTAATTTAGTAAGTAATCACCATACATAATTGTCAATTAAAGAACAATGATAATTATAACTTTTAAAACAGCAAGTCTTATTTCCAATATTCCTACAACAGCTAGGCTAATAACCACACAGCCATTGTTATTGTATTATCATAACCATGACAATGGTCGAGATAGTAAATATTGATAAAAACCTAAAACCTGGTAAAAGCCACTCATGTTTATACAAATTCAACTACGGTATATACAACAATTATTTACATTTGTTTTATTTTGTGGCGTGTTTTGAAGCATAGGCTACATTTTTCATGAACAATTTTACTGTAATGGACAAAATGGAATGAGTTCCTAACACTTACCGTATGTTTCATAAAAAAGTGCTGTCCTTTTTTCCAATTAACGTCTACAAATTTAATATAACGTTAGCCCATGCTTGTAAAATGTGCTGAATTTACGGTAGTGTACTAATGTTGAAGGTGTCAAAGTTTTGTGTAAAACCATTGGTCAATATTACTTTTTTATTAACTTTTGGGGCGGAGATCTCTATTTGAGGGATAGGTTAGTTTTCTTGATCAAAAAGCTTAATTTCCTTTATTATTGGCCTAACAGTTTAGGTCAAGGTGGAATCTGAATTAGACCTAATGAATAACATTATTTGTCAGAAAGCTATCTTTCTGACCTACGAAATTTATATTTTAGCCTGGTTATCATGCTTTGAGTAAAAATATTTTTCTTTGAACTATGCTGTGTGTGCAAACCTTGCATTTCAAAACGTTTATACATTTTGTGATAGTTTCATAGTACAAAATTCTAGCACCATAGCCTATATAAATTATACATTTGTTGCTAATTATATTTTAAATACTTAAAATGAAACATTTGCCAAGATTTAGTGTTGTGTGTTTTTGCAGATCACTTTTTTAAAAAAGTAAACAGAATAATTTATTTAAAAAAAATTATAACATAGCCTACCGTACATGTTTTATTTATTTTAATCACATCTCAATGTATACTAGGCCTACTTTAAAAGGATATAATATTCAAATAAAATGTTAACCAAGCAGTAAATTATTTTCGTTTTGCATTACCCTTAAGTGGCGAACGGACTTACCAACTACCAAAATGATGTCATAAAAATGTCATTGTTCATCATTCTTTTTTTAGGTTTTAAACTTGGATGAGGTAGATAAATTGGTTGACTTAGAGCGCAAGATTGAAGTAGAACAGAAAGCTCTTCAGTCACTTCTGGAGAGACTTAAAACTTCTATTCAGACACAATGTGAGTAAATACAATAAAATACTTAGTTTGCAATTGTTGAATTTTTCAATACAATGCTGTATAGAGCATCTAGTGTGATGTTTGAACAGGACCAATCAAAGACAAATAGTAAACATAAACAGAAAACAGTTTATGTAAATGTTTACTTACCTTCTGACGGTTGAGCAAACATATTGTAAATCACCTGTTCTTTCAGGAATTGGTTGCCGTTGTTTTCCTTGTGGAAAAGTATAAATAATTCATAGTAGCTTCAGAGCATATCTGTTTAAAAAACCTTCAATATCGTATTAAAGTTTTAATAGCTTATTTGAGTTATATTATTTTCAAAAATCTGTAGAAAAACAATATTTTATGTGTGTACTCTTTTTAAAATTATTTTTTAGCCAGCCTATGGTAAAAAACTTCATGGTTGTAAATAGGCAGAAGTAGATAGGCTATAGTTAAAATTCTTATTCACAAACAGTTGCTTATTTTAGTAGCATATTTAAAAAAAATACATTAGTAATCCAAGACAATAATACTAACAGATTTGATTAAAAATATCTTACTTTTGTGTAATAAGTCTTTTGATACCAATATCATATAGTATTTTGTATCAATAATTCAGGCCTAATAAAGTAGTTATCTATGGTTATGGGATTTAAACATTTATAATTAGATTTATACAACATATAACCATTCACCTAATCCTTAAAACTTAACTAAATCAAATTTTATTTGCAAACTGAAACAGACATTGAGCCAAAACACTTATTACAAAATTCATAAACTTTTAAAGATAGCCTAAATGTTAAAGCCTTTCACTTGCAGAATGTAGCTTAAGAAATCTATAGAACAACTAAGTACCAGTTTAGTAATTACTATATCAGGCGTTTCTACCATAAAGCTTTGTACTTGTCTATTGTTTAAAGATCTTAATCTGGATCACAATGACTAATATAAAGTGTTGTTAATTTTCTTTAAAGTCAAACAAACTACATTATATTATTAGGTACTTTTAAATACATATGCATGAATTACCTACATGAATGAAATTAAGTTTATAGCCTATATCAATGTTTTAATTAATTAACTTTGTCTCCAACATCTTTCAGGGGAGGACAAAAAGTTAATCGAAGAAAAGAAAAAAGTGTTTGAAGAACTGTCCATAGAAGCAGATGAACTTTATAAGAGAAGGGTATGTTATATAACAGTTTTTGGTTGATTTAAAATAGTCTTGTTTGTTATTTTCTTATAAATCTAGAGTGAGCATATGACATTCAAAAATTCCAACCCTCTTTTTATTAATAATAAGACTTCTCTTTCCACTCCACAATCCTGGTTTCTCGAGTTTAAATTTGTAATTTTTTAAGTCTCCTACCTTTATTGTCAACTTGGTTTTGGATGTGTTCTTATTTTACATCTAGCATATTAGAGTATAAGCATTTTTATTCAATCTGTGTTCAGTACCAGTGATCGATATGCAGGGTAACGCGGGGGAACGGAGTTCCCATACCTCTCTTTCAGAAAAATAAAAATACTGCCATAAATAGGTACTAATCACATTAAATAGGTTTCAGTTCCGGCACCTTATTTTTTACAAATCGAACACTGTTCAGTACCTCATTCAAATGCATGACAAATCACATTAAATTATAGATTATTTGATAGTCTGCAGAGCATACAAAAATTTATATATAGGGGCTGGCTTTAATTTTGATATTCTGGAAACTTTCAGCCACCCACGGCAAAAGTTACAGTTCATTTTTATTTTGAAGCAATATGATTTCAAAATGAATTTTTCCTCTCTAACAAGAACTGCTCAGTCCACAAAATCTTGCACTGATAATATTTAATCACAGAAAATTGATTATCATCAGTTATTATCAATAACAATGAATTTAGAATCAGGCATCTCTGATAATTTTGAGCATTATTTTTAAAAATAAAGTAAAATTGATGAAAATATAATAAAAGGTAAAAAGTGTAAACAACATTTTTTCCAAAAGAAGATACAACAAAATTTATAAATGATGTAAAAGAAACCTCCTGGAATGTATCTGTAAATAATTCTTTTGATAATAACTGTTTTTTTAGAACTTTTTCAAAATTTATTTGAAGAAACATTTCCTAGATGTGGTACCAAACCTTATAATAATAACAAGTCTAGGGTAACAAGAGGTAGGCCTATTCAAATTTCTAGTATTAGAAAAAGAGAACCAAGCAGACTTGTAAAGAAATCTAATGACAGAAATTTCATTAATTATTTTAAAAGGTATAAATTAACTTTCAACAAGGTATGCAATCAAGAAAAAAAATGTATAATGCTATATTTATAAAAGGATCAGATAACAAGAGTAAGGCTGTTTGGTCTATCATTAAATTTAATCTGAACTCGGTTGTAAAAAGACTTAAACTCTCCTGATGTTGTTCAAAGGTTTATTGCAGACATTTTCCATCACGATTGTAAAAAACAATACACAACGTTTAGGGATTTCAAAGGTTTATTGCAGACATTTTCTATCACGATTGTAAAAAACAATACACAACGTTTCGGGATCTGGAATCTGATCCCGTCCTCAGGTGAAAAAACTTAACGAACACATTACAACTAACAATACACAAACACCCAATCTAAGTTGGAATAAACTACAGAGGGTAGCAGTCAAAAAATACTTTTTTAGGTTGGGTGTTTGTGTATTGTTAGTTGTAATGACACCATCACCAACAATGAACTTCAAACAAAGGAATTTCCTGGTATTAGGATTGCCAAAAGTGGCAAGGAAATTTCTGAATTCTTTAATAACAAATTTATAAATATCACAATAGAAATTGGCCTAATACCTCATGAAGAGAATGCACTAAAATTGTCAAGGTATACAGTAGCAGGACACCAACCTAATCCATTTGAATTCAGTTTTGTATTGTATAGAAGGAGTTATTAATAATATCAAATCCCTCAAAAGTAAAAAATCTGCTGACTGGGACTGTATTCCTATCGTTCTGATGAAAACCGTCTCTAATTTTATAGCTGAACCTTTATTTATAAATATAAACCAATCTTTTCATAATAAACACTTTTCCCTAACATTTAAAATATGCAGAGCTCAAACCTCTCTTCAAGAAGGGTGAGATACAAAATCCGGACAATTATTGGCCCGTTTCCCTTCCACAATCATTTTCAAAAGGGTTTGACAAACTAGCAGCCAAACAAATCTCAAGTTTTCTTGAGTATATGACATTTTGGCTAATGAACAATTTGGTTTTAAAAGGGGTTTACTTTAAGCACAATGAAAGCTTTATCAGATTTTATTAGTGAGGTTTCATGGGCTTTGGATGGGTCACAGAGCACAATGGGGGTGTTTTGTGACCTATTCAAGCCTAGTTGGTTGACTGTTCCAACCATGATATTCTTTTTAAAAAGCTTGATATAAAGACTAATATAAAGACTTGATACTTAACAAATTGTTTTCAAAGAACAGTAATTTAAAAAAATAATGAACAATTAATATCAGAATGGTAAAAGATTACAGTTGGTGTTCCTCAAGGCTCTATTCTTGGACCTTTACACTTGATATTGTATATAAATGACTTGCCTAAAAATGTCTAACAACCTTATTTTATATGCCGACGATACAACTGCAGTTGTCAAATCTAAAAATAATTCAGAATTGTCGCTCAAAGTTAAACAAGCACTATCGGAACTAGAACAGTGGTTCAACATTAACGGTCTAAAAATGAATCAAGATAAAACCCAATTGGTAAAGCTTTGTACTGTTCAGGCAAGAGAGTTTAGAGACCAAAATTTAGCTGGATTGAAAATTTCTCAGTTTGTACTTAGATTCAAATTTAAATTGGAACAAGAACATTGAAAATTAAATTAGTAGACTTAATTTGGCATGTTATCAAATGATATGTTTAAGAAACACAATTGACCTAAAAGCCCATTTGATGTTATATTATGCATACTTCTATTCAATTCTTCAATATGGAATTGAATTCTGGGGCTTTGCATCAAACATTAATTTAATTTTTAAGATTCAGAAATTTTTTTAAAGAATGATGACATTTGCACCATGGAGAACATCCTGGAAAGCAGCCTTGCTAATTTTATTTTAGAAAACCCTAGTATAGATGAGTTCTTAACTGGTCAGGATATGCAATAGCCTAATGAACTTGTTTTTAAGTATAATTTTTTAAATAAATCCATTTGTTTAAAGCACTTTTATATTTTATAGTTTTGGTTTATTTTATTCTTACATAACTATTTAGTCATAAAGGTATTTGTTTGTATATTGACAATGTCACCTGTTTTATAGCATTGCTATATTTTGTAAACGTTATGTGACAGTTAAGACAGATTCTTTTATAATTCCAGAGTTTCAATCAAAACCATAGTATGAAAGTCTGATTTCTGTAGATGTGTATTAATTAATCAGTTGTTAGTGTCAAACGATGACATGATTAAAAAGTTAGTACCAAAACAGAGTCATTTTCTTTTAACAACTCGCACGGTTTACATTGTTTAGTAGCCACTGAAACATGTTTCAAAATGGCATCACAAACACTAATGAACAATATTGTCAGTCCCACTTTCACTAAGTTGATAGCGTACATTTCAGGGATGGGCCAGCCTATTAGTGTGATAAAGACAATACTCAAGATAATGACTTATGATGAAAAACTAAGACATTCAATTCTATTTACATCCAATATTAAATATTTATTATGTAATTCATACAGTTAGTGTGTTCTTTAGTTTTTGTTTAGTTTTGTTTGGTATTAATGAACTGAAACTACAATTTATAAAAAAATAAAACTAATTTTTGGAAAGTGGAAATTTTATCCATAGAATTAAATACCTAGTTGCTAAAATAATGTTTTAAAACTGTTGTGATTTGTCCTTTTTTTATTTTATTTTTGTTTTAAATGAAGTGAATAATTTTTGGTCCCATTCATGAAGGTTAAGTCTTTATTCAGTGATCACTTCAGTTTTGTTCCTGGTAATTTAGGGAAGTGTTAGAAACATTAAAGTACCTCTTACCTCTACTGTTCTCTTCTATTGGCCACGAATCCCACAATGAAACCCCTAACTCTCTTAGGCAAACAAAAAAAAAAAAGTTAAAGGTCAACACTCCTAGGGTAAACTTCTTCTACAGTTCTAGGATAAAATTCATCATTGAAATAACCTCTCCATTAATTTGAAATGGTCCAGAATTTTTGTGACCGTGGAACTACTATAATCTTTGATTTCTTTGTTTGCAGACAGAGGAATTGTTGCAACATCCTCCACAAGCCATTGCAGTGTTGGTGCTAGCTTGCAACCGTGTAACTGTCACTCGTTGTTTGGACCAGTTGCTGAAATACCAGCCTGATCCAGCTTTCTTCCCAATCATTGTCAGTCAGGATTGCAGTCATGAACCTACAGCAGATGCCATTCGAGGTTATGGAGACCGTCTTTACCACATTCAGGTAAGGTTTGGTTTTCTATTTATCACAAACATATAATGAAAACAGCATTTAGCTTCTACAGTATACCCTCCCTTATTAACCGACCTTGGATCAATCACTGCTGAGATTAACTGCCTCTGGTTGGTACTGGTTGATCTTGACCAATATTCTTCATTCCACCATCATCGGAAATTTTGATTCCATGGTGATGACTTGCAGTTTCAATTTCAGGTTCATTTCCAGTTTACTTCTGTGCAACTTCGGTTAAACTTCAGCTTCACTCCGTTCCAAAATCATTGGTCCATTTCAATTTCGTTTTTCACTCAGTTCCCGTCCAGGTTTTTTTTGGCAGATTCACTGGTTCCTGAATTTTGTCTTTGTTTACATCCACCAATGGCTTATCACCCTATTTCAATATTGCCAATCTTTTCCAAAATTTTTTAATGTCTCATGTATAAACAAATGAATGAGTATTTTGAAAATAACAATTTATTGACAAATTCACAGTTTGGATTTCGAGAGGGTAAATCAACAACTGCAGCTGTCTTAGAAGTAATTAATAAATCTTTAAATGCATTTGAAAATAAAGAAACTGTTTCATTAACTTTATTTGATCTTACAAAAGCTTTTGACTCTGTACCTTTTGATATTTTATTCAAAAAACTTGAATTTTATGGTATTACAGGTGAAACTTTAAACATTTTAAAATCCTATTTAACTAATAGAAAGCAGTATGTATCTGTTGGAGGCAGTCAGTCTAACTTAAGATTGGTTGAAGTAGGTGTTCCACAGGGCTCGGTTTTGGGACCCTTCTTGTTTTTAATCTCGATAAATGACCTGCCAAGGAATGTTGATGTAGACACTGTTGTATATGCTGATGACACAACTTTGATTGCAACAAATAGAGATATCCATGAGCTTGATTTAATTACTAATGAATCAATAACATCAGCACTTAATTGGTTTTCTTCAAATAAATTGACGTGTAATAAAGAAAAAACACAGAAAATTCTTTTGAGTCTATCCCCACTTGACAATGAATTAAAATCTGTAAAATTATTAGGATTCCAAATTGATTCAAAATTAAATTGGCAAGAGCACATAGAAATCACTTGTAAAAAAATTTCCAGAGTAAATTATCTAATTTAGAAACTCAGAGATTTTGTTAGTAATGAATACCTTCGGATTACTTATTTTGGTTTTTTTCAATCTCATATTTCTTACAGGATCATACTATGGGGACACTCCCCCCACACCCATGAAATTCTTTTATTACAAAAAAAAGTTATACGAACAACCTGTGGGGCTGGCCCTGTAGCTGTCGACTTCTTTTTATAGACCTTAAAATTATGACCGTTGTAAATTTGTATATTTTTCACATACTCCTCTACACTAAAGCCAATCTTCATCAATTCACTTGTAGAGAGAGTATACACTCTTACAATACAAGAGGCAAATCCAATCTAGATATCCCTGCCCATAGATTGGCCAAAACAGATAACTGCCATAAAATAAATTGCATACGGTTTTTTAATAAATTAGGTCTAGCAGCAAAACAGGTTCCTTTTAATAGGTTTAAGTCTAAAATGTTTGAGTGGCTCATCTAAAATCCATATTACTGTATAACAGAGTACTTAGTTTCTGATGTTAATATTAATTTTTAATTTAGAACCCACTGTATTTTATAGCTTTAGTTTTTATTTCTATTGTTGACTATGTCTATTCCTTGTAAAAGGTCAATGACAATAAAGATCTTGATTCTTGATTCTTGGCAGACTCGTATTGGTCAAGTTGTCGTTGTCTGCTGATGACGCCATCGGCACTTTGTTAATTCTCTAGCTTGAATCCAAAATGTCCACTTCCTGTATAGAACCAACCTCAACCTTGTGAAATTCCATAATTTGATTTAGTCCAACCTTATTCGTAATGCTATTTGTCATAAGAATGTTAATTTTTTTCTCAAAGTTTAGTCTTTACTTTTCATCTTGTTTAGCTCGTCAATCAGGGCCGGATTTCCCAATAGGCCCGGTAGGCCCGGCCCGGGCCTATGGGCGCAAGGTCCCAGAGGGCGCACGGCCGAGAGTAATTTTTTTTATACTTAGGCTATCTAAAAATAAAAATAAATAGTCATAGTTGATAAAAAAAACTCCAAAGCATTGTGATTCTGAGGTTTATAAGAAGAAATAATTGTTAGGAAATTTAAACTATTTTTCAGAATTACGCATCAATTTCGTTACAAAATTGGTAACGAACATCGGTTATACGAGAGTAGGCTGTAGGGATGTTGACGTTGACGAGCGCCCAAGGGGTACGCATCGTATTGCCACTGCACTCTGCTCTGAGCTACTAAGGCACATGGATAAAACATGCTCCATAAATAACAAGAATTGTATTCAGCTAATCCAAAATGATGACAAATCTACTGAAGGAGTAGGTTTAATCTATGGTATCACGTACTGTATCGAGTTCATGTTTTTGGGCTTGGAATTGGAATCAATTGCCATGTTTTTTTCATTAATGCTCAGTGGGTTGAGTTGTTTTGTTTCAGTCCCACGGCCACAAACGTGAGCATTTATTAAAAGCATACAATTGCTAATAAGTGTTTAAGACGGCATTTTGTTAAGGCTAAACAAGTCAATTCTTAAAAAAATTCAATGATTCCAACGAGGAGTGGTTGATTGATTGATTGATTGATTCTGTAGGGGCGGACCTTGTCCTGTTGCACGTCAGCCACTGATGGGCTTTTTGCGCTCCCCACATGGTACTTCAGAGTCCGTCAAACCTCAGTTGCTTAATGAACTCCATCATCCTGTCAATGAGCTCCTCCTGAGGAAGGTGTCTGCCCCTTGTCATTGCACCAAGAGTACTGTCCCTTACCTCATTCAGAGCTGTGCAGTCATAGAGTAGGTGATCAGCAGTCTCCTCTGATTGCCCACATTTCCTACACGCAATGTCACCTTTGTGGATCCTCAAGCGATGCAGGTGTAATTTCAGGAAGCCATGTCCAGTGACCATTCCTGTGATCTGTCTGAGTCGCCTCCTGTCTAAACGTAGAGCATTGGAGGCGACCGTCTGGGAAGGGGAGAAGAGGGTGAGCTTACTTACCCTATGGTGCTGAAGCCTAACCCATCTTTTCCTGTGTTCCTCCTGAGCCCATGCCATGACTGAGTGACATGCATGCCCACGAGATATTCCACAGAAAGGCTGTGGTCCCACGAAGTCTGAGGCTGACGCGACATTTGCTAGCCTGTCAGCCACCTCATTCCCTTCTATCCCTGAGTGCCCAGGAACCAAACAGAGCGTTACCTTGTTGCGCCTGCCCAGGTCACATACCGCAGAAAGGCAGTCCCAGACCACCTTAGAATTTAATTCATAGGAGTCAAGCGCTTTGAGCGCAGCCTGGCTGTCTGTAAAAATGGAAATGTTGATGTCCCTGAAGCCTAGCCTCAGGTTTTCCCTAGCACATACCATAATCGCAGTCATTTCGGCCTGGAACACAGTTGGGTGAGTGCTCATAGGAAGACAAATGTCTACCCCATTCTGCACTCCATGAATTCCAGCCCCAGTCCCACTTCTTACCTTTGAACCATCAGTATACCATTCAAGGTTGCCTTGTGGAAGAGGATTCCCACCGGACATCCACTCATCCCTGGACGGAAGGAGGACAGTGAATGGTCTGGCGAAGAAGAATCGAGTCAGCATGTGATCCGAGGGCATGTCCATTACCTCCCCTCTTACCTGCTGAGTGATCCGAGAGTGACCTCGGGATCCTCCAACATCCAACCAAAGGTTTTCACACTGGAGTCTGTAGGCAGTCCTCCTCGCAGTGACCTTGACATGCAGGTCAATCGGAGTGAGGTTGAGAAGGCAGTCCAGTGAGGCTCCCGGACAGCTGCTCATTGCGCCCGTGATGATGACACAGGCGAGTCTTTGGACGGCAGCCAGATCTCTCACCGCATGAGGCCATCTTGGGCCACCACACGAGTGAGCCGTATGTCATGGCGGGCTTTACCACGGAGACAAATAGCCAGTGCATTAGCACCGGCTTGAGCCCCCAGGTTCCTCCCACCATCCGTCTGCAAGCCATGAGTGACCACTTACCTCAATCAATGACCTTTTGGAGTTGTGGGCCCCATTGCAGCTTTCGGTCCAATACCACCCCCAGGTACTTTACCTGATTCTGCATTTCAAGCACTGTGTCTTGTAGTCTCAGAGGTCCTATGCCATTTAGATTGCGCCTCCTCGTGAAGGGGATAACCGCCACTTTGGAGGGGTTGATAGAAAGGCCTACCTCTGTGCACCATTGTCCAACTGACCTCAAGGCTGTGTTCATGAGGTCGGTGACCGTGTTGTTGAATTTACCCATAACCAGTATCACAATGTCAACCGCGTATCCTTGAACGAATACACCACTATCACTGAGAGATCTAATAATTAAGTCATCTACAACAAGGTTCCAGAGAAGAGGAGAGAGTACACCCCCCTGTGAACACCCTCATGTGGTCCTTGCCTCCAGAACCTCATTGTGAAGAGAGAGTCTTACCTTCCTCCTCCTAAGTAGAGACTCTACCCACCTGCACACCACCTCATGGAATCCACGAGCTCTGGCAGCATTGATGACAGCCTGGGTTTCAGTGTTCTCAAAGGCGCCCTGGATGCCAAGGAATGCCCCGAGGGCAATCTCCTTGAACTCAAACGCCTTGTCGATTCTGCTTACCAGGTGATGTAGGGCAGAGTCACAGGATCTTCCTGGGGTATAGGCGTGCTGATTTCTATGTAGGGGATTGACTCTGAGGACTTTGTCCCCCACATACCTAAGCACCAGTTTCTCTAGGGTCTTCAACAGGAATGAGGACAGAGAGATGGGACGGAAGGACTTGGGATCCGTGTAACTTGCCTTACCAGGTTTTGGGATGATAACCACCCTTGAGATGCTCCAGGCCGGGGGAATGTGTCCCAGGGCCAAGCTGGTCCTGAACAACTTGCTCATTCCTGGAAGTAATATATCAATACCTTGCTGGAGACAGACAGGTCTTACCTCATCAGGTCCAGGTGATTTGTATGGGATGAGTGACCTTATGGCCCATCTCACACGACTGTGTGTCACAATGTGGCACGCAACCCTCCACCGAGTGTTGTTTGCCCTTGCGTCAGTTTGTACCTCATCCTCCGGCACCAATGGCTCGCTTGGGATGATGCAACCAGGGAAGTGGGTGGCCGCCATAAGCTTTAGCACTTCCTTAGGTTCATACAGCATATCTCCCCCAGGCTCCTTGAGGGGGCCTAGCTTGGAGGAGTTTTCCTTTGTTAGGACAGTGTATATCCTAGATGTATCTCTAACACTTTCTACCTTGCTAGTGTTAGAGGAGTGGTATTCAAGCAATTAACTTAGGCCTATAGGCATGATATAGTTTTTAATAAAGGTTTGAAGGAAAGTAACGGTGACCAGACTAGGGGGCGAAAAATTATTTGGGCCTAGGGGCGCAAAAACTCTAAATCCGGCCCTGTCGTCAATCAAGTTAGTCATCGGAGGTTCGTCATTTACAATATGGTCCTTGAGCCTTCCAGTGCAGGGATTGCAGAACCACTTCACATACTCCTCCATCTTCCTAATTTCATAAAAAGTCCTCGCAGATATATTTATGCATTTAGCGGGATGCCACAAAACGTAATAACCATCTCAAAGATGAGTTTTTCCTTGTCTAAACACAATTATTTTTAACACACCGGGCACTTGCTCACAACTTCACCTTTTGCCATTACCACAGCCTTCTATAATGTTGAGTGAATATATACAAATCCAGAATCTTGTTTAAAGAGAAGGAATAAAGCAGGCGTGAGCGATCAATAATATGACCAAAAGGGAGCCTGAGCCCGCCTTATAAGACTCTAAGTTAATCAAATTAAAAAAAAAATTAAAAAAAAAAACTATGCAAACAATCAACAATGCCATACATTTACAAACAACAACGCAAATTTAGTTACAAAAATTTGGTAAATCAACCATTTTTTATATTTTCTGGGGAGGACCCCTGAACGCCCCTTATGGAACAGGTAGATGGATGCCCATGAAGCAGAGTGTATACGAATGAAAAAAGATCATTCAGATGGAAGATGGATTCAGTTTGTTCACTCCCAAGCCGCATGGCTTTCATTTAGTAATTGATAATAAACCAACTATTAAAGTGCTCAATATGCAAGATCACTTGAGCAACCATATATTAAGAATAAGAATGAGAATAAGAAATATTTATTTCCATTGATCTTTATAAAAGAAATAGGACACGTCATTGTTATACATAGTTACAAGGTGATTCAGTGTTTACAGTACAAAATATCTAAATTTAAATAGCCACTTACATGAAAATAAAAGCTTTATTTCAACTTACTCTTCAAAATCTAATATTTATTTCACAACTTAAAAAATCATCAATTTTGTAAAAGGGATTTTTAACAATCCAGTCATACAGTTTATTTTTAAAAATATTGTAAGAAACTAATTTTGCTTCTTCAGGCAGCTTATTAAAAAACATTATACAATTTAATTTATGTGAATGTTTGGTTTTTGCCAATCTGTGCTGCAATATATCTATTTTATCCCTACCTCTTGTATAGTGATTGTGTACGTCTTTTCGGAAAGAGAATTGATCTAAGTTTGACTTTGTATATATTAGAATTTGGAATATATAAAGATTTACTATGGTTGGTATCCTGAAATTAATGAAAAGAGGTTTACAATGTGTATCTGAGCATTCTCCAGCAATGCTTCGAACCGCCTTTTTCTGGAGTAAAAGGATGTCATTAATATGTGGAGAGTGGCCCCACAAAATAAGACCATATAGTATGTGCGATTGAAAGAGTCCAAAATACGCCAATCTTAAATATTCTTGGCTAACAAAATCCTTAAGTTTCCACAGCAAGCACCTCACTCTTGAAATTTTGTTACAAACAGATTTTATGTGTGATGACCAATTTAATTTTGAATCCAAATTAAATCCTAAAAGTTTAACTGATTCAAATTTTACCTCTGTTTTAAGACTGATTGTTATATATTGTGATTTGTCAGAATTACAAGATAGTCTGTTTGCAGAAAACCAATCATATGCTCTATGTTCAGCCTCTTGACTAATTAAGCGCAGGGTTGTTAAATTAGAATGGTTAGCGAGTAAAGTTGTATCATCCGCATATATAACAGATTGTGTATTTATATTTATAGGAAGATCATTAATGTAGACGTTAAAGAAAAATGGCCCTAGTACAGAGCCCTGAGGAACACCGGTTTCAACTTTTTCAGTTTTAGAACATTTATTTTTAATTGATACCAATTGAAGTCTATTACATAAATACGAAGAAATTAGAAGCATGGCATCATTAGTGATGCCATAAAAACGTAGTTTGTTAGTTAGGATATCAAAAGGAACCGTACTATTACACTATTACACTATTGTTTGGATTATGAATAACTCTAAGTTTCCCATTTTTTAGCAACCAGACCAAAGTGACATACAAGTGCCACCAAAAGAAAAGAAGTTCAAAGGATATTTTAAGATAGCACGGCACTATGGATGGGCTCTAAATCAAGTATTTAACTTCTTCAACTTTAACAATACAATTATTATTGAAGGTAAGTTACTGTTTTTTTCTTTCATTTTGAAACTAATTGCTACCGTAACTACTCAAGATAAAGTGAAATTAAAACTTTACATTTTTACCTTCTCCCCCTTTCATAGTAACTTATATGGAGAAAGTATATTTTTTGTCAAAGTTTTCGAGTTTGAGTGGATATATCCATTTTGGGTCCGCCTTAACCCAAAAAAGTGGTTTTCGAAGTGATGTCTCTGTGTGTGTGTTTGTGTGTGTGTGTGTGTGTGTGTGAGTGTGTGTCTGTATTCACCGAATAGTGGCATCCTTCACAGGCACGTGGCCGTACTGTGGCACCTTAAAAAATTGTGGCACCTTTTTCAGGGTGCCACAGCTAATTCGATCATTTTTTGGGGTTTCCAGCATTAATACGTCGTTTAAACATCACATGCCACAATTGAGTATTTTTGAACTCGTTGATGTGAGTTTAAGTAGCGCAGGTACATGCCGAATTGTGGAAACCATACCGGTAGCTAGCGCGCCTCGCGCCGTCCGCTGGAACTATAACTTCTCTAATGCTATGTTGCCAATTCTCGCGCCAGCCTACACTCTAAATAGTGGCACCATGCCGCAATTCAGTATATATCAACAGTGTGTGGACAGGATGCCACTTAATGATTTGTAGCGCTTGAGCAGTGTGTAGAACAGTGCAACAAGCAACTAATAAACTAATAATACTGTACTGCCACGTACTATAAAACAATTTAAGTACCATAAATAATATACTTTTGCTCCGAGTGGTGAACAATGTTTTACATTACAAATATTTTGTGTAGTAAATAATTATTTAAATTGATTTTATGACACCATTAAAAAAATTATTTTTGTTTACAAACATAAATTGGTAACGTAGTTATTTTGTATCAATTGAATTTTTACATTGAAACAATAACAATGTTTTAGGTTAGACCACTATATAAGTTGTCCTTCTTTTAATTCTTCTGTCTTCTAATTTTTTATCTTACAAACTATTTAGTGCTGATACATCTATTTTATTAACATTCTAGTCATGTTGACAAAATATTTTACAATTAAATTTCTGAATCACTCAGTAAAGGTAGATTTCGATGCATCATTGCTGAAAGTTATGTTTTGCTTCTCACTCTCAGAGTATTCCAAAGACATCTAATGTTTCAATCCATATTCAAATGTTATATGAGGTAAACACATAACCGAATCAATTAAAGTACTTAAATTAAAATACATATTATTATCAACACGCATAAACTAGTTCAGATTATATATCATCTCACAATCATATTTGCATACTACTGTGGTGATTTAACCAGTCCCCACTAACAAAAGCATGAAATGAAAGGTCCTAAAGACGTTAACATTGAGTTAAAATACAAGAGTAGTTTAAAAGTTGTAACCATGATACCTACTGTAAATAATTTGATATTGTTTGATATTATACAATCGTTTTACAATTTTGTCAATCTATCTGTTACTTTAAATACAAATGTATTTTTATTATTCAATGTTTTGTTTTGTAGAACCTTTAGTATTCTCAACTTTATTAATAATAAACCTATTTTAACATACAATATCAATTTTAGGAAATTCCTAGTATGGTTGGAAATATATTGGCATCCGTGAAGTTTGAGTAATGTTTTTTTTAAAACACAATATGTTATATTTAACTTCACTTATTATTTATTTAATATGTTTCTACTTCTTGAAATTCTCAGTTAACTGGGAGGCGGAGCAAACAGTTTGTTTTAGAACAAACTGTTTGCTCCGCCTCATTCATTTCAGAATTCCAACCATCATCATTTTAGAATGACCTTGAAAATTCTAAACAATCTTTTTTCTGTTGGTTTACTTAAAGTCTATAATGTTCTACTATGAATGCAAATCTATAATACAGTATAAATTTCCAGTCCCACCCTAAAAAAACTATGATATTTAACAGTCAAATTTTTATAACGTATCAACACATTATTTTTAATTGGTCACCAAACTGATTCTTGAATTTTTGAATTAGTAGTTGCAAGAGTACGCAAAACTGCAGAGAGTCCTTGAAAATGCTTGTGCAATGATATAGTTTTAAATTATAAAAGAAACCCTTCACAAAATTGTATTAACAGGACCAGAGGCTCAATATGCACATGGTATTTCATTTATAAGAGGCAAAAAAATTCAAATCATATTAATTTATGATTGCCAATAGATTTTGAGTTTCCTTAAAAACAATTATATAAAACTGTCTGCAAATTTAAATCCATGTGTGTAGCCCCTGAGCTGTTGGACATAATGTAAGACTAAATTACTTACGTAATTCCCGTCACAGCTCAATAAAATATGTCTATTCAGGACATGTTTCGGTGTTAAAACACCATCGTCAGCTTCAGGTACATAGTGTAGAGTTGATCAGTTGTTAACATCGTCAGAAGATAAACACAGTACGGACACGAATAAATACATAAAACAATTAAACATTAAAAAAACAGGCCTGTTCTAACAAAGATGACCGACCGCACAGGTAGCAAAGGACAGACTAGACCAGCTTATGCTTATCAGTTGTGTGAGAGTGAAAGAGATATTGGGCAAGGATCAGCTGTTGTAGGATGGACGGAGTTATTGATGAGTGAATTAAAAATGGTGTGGGAACTGTACTGTAGTTTTTCGTTTAATATAGTCTCACGTGTGTTAACGTTGTTAAAACTTTTGTATATTTCATACTCCTCTAGAGTGTCCATCTTTTTCCCTTTTCTGCAAGTGTGTAGAATTTCCAAGCTGTCATCAATATTTCCTCAGTAGTGCAGCTTTAAAATCACTCAATCACTCTTGAGATTCCTTTATGTCCTTGCTGCTAAGCTCTCATCATCGCCCCTAATCAAGGAATGATGTGGAAGCAATCAAGGAATCGTAAAAAGGTCGTTGAGAAGGAGTGGGTCGTAATTTCGCGGTATCTATTTGATATCGAAAATCTATCGCTTGCGCTTTATCTTATTTATTGATTAAAGAATGTATTTAAGATATTATACGGTAATTTATTATGCAAGGGAGTCGAGGTATTAATCCAAGGAAGTAAGGTGTAAAAATCCAAGGATTAATGGTAGAACGGTTTACGGTAATCAAGGTAGTACAGGTATTAATCCAAGGAAGTAAGGTGTAAAAACCAAGGATTAATGGTAGAACGGTTTACGGTGATCAAGGTAATCAAGGTATTAATCCAAGGAACTATGGTGTAAAAGCCAAGGATTAATGGTAAAACGGTAAAGGTATTAATCCAAGGAACGATGGTGTAAAAGCCAAGGATTAATGGTAGAACGGTTTACGGTGATCAAGGTAATCAAGGTATTAATCCAAGGAACTATGGTGTAAAAGCCAAGGATTAATGGTAGAACGGTTTACGGTGATCAAGGTAATCAAGGTATTAATCCAAGGAACTATGGTGTAAAAGCCAAGGATTAATGGTAAATCGGTAATATTATGTAGCAAGGAGGTAGTGGTATTAATCCAAGGAATTAAGGTGTAAAGCCAAGGATTAATGGTAAAACGGTAACGGTATTAATCCAAGGAATCAAGGTGTAAAATCCAAGGATTAATGGTAAATCGGTAATATTATGTAGCAAGGAGGTAGTGGTATTAATCCAAGGAATTAAGGTGTATTTAAAGCCAAGGATTAATGTTGAAACGGTAACGGTATTAATCCAAGGAATCAAGGTGTAAAGCCTAGGATTAATGGTAAAACGGGAACGGTATTAATCCAAGGAATCAAGGTGTAAAGCCAAGGATTAATGGTAAATCAGTAATGGTATTAATCCAAGGAATCAAGGTGTAAAATCCAAGGATTGATGGTAAAACACAAGGTTCAACTATTTAAACAAGGGAATCAATAATGGTACGATGGTCTGCTCATTAATAATAGCACGTCTATACTCTACCTACTCTAGGCTATCACAGCTCCCAGGATATATGGGAATGGTCTTGGGATGGTTAGATAGGTTTTAAGCAACGGAATAAAGCAGGTAGAATGAGGCTAGGTGCATACAAATGGAAATACAAGCATAGAATGTACAAGCAAGGTAGATCAAGTACGATGTATAATCACTATAAGCAAAGCAAATCTACAAATTAGCGTGGTAAATGATCTGCTAATTATAGATCAAGCAATTACAAAGCAATGACAATTTATACGTCAACTAAATGCAATAATACTATATATGTGCGATTCAAGCTCAAAATGCTACGGTATTATAATTTCCAAATGATTTACAAAAGATAATGCAAAGCAATCTACGTTAAGCTAAGTCAAGCAATTTTACATATATGGAATAAATGTCGGTACAAATACTAGAAACAGAATTGGAGACGTTCTCCTACCTTATTTGATGATCGACTTGTCGGGTTGATATCGTGTTCGGAAGTGAAGTCTTAGAGTCGTCTTGGACTCTCTGAGTAGCTAGACCGTCGTGCGCATGCGCGACAGGCCAGCGCGGGAAACTGGAGCATGCGCGAGGTGCGCGCGCACGTCAAGGAAGCGGGAAATTCAAATCGGTGGAACCTGAATATGCTTGTCTTGCTTGTCTATATTTTGTCTACCATGATATTTAATCCAAAAAAAATCGTACCATTATTTTAGCCTGTTACAATGTCAAAGTTAAAACTATTGTTGTTTTTAATGATGGTTAAATCTAAAAAATTCAGTTTGTTGCTATCTTCAATTTCAAGGGTCAATTTTAAGTTGGGTTTCAGACTATTTAAATAGTTAAGGAGTAAGTGTAGCTGCCTTGAATTGTCGTTGAATATTACAATAGTGTCATCAACATATCTTCTATAAAATAAAATCTTGCTACTATATTTATTTGTGCTTGACATGATGCATGTATTTTCTATGTGATGTAGATAAATGTCGGATAAAATTCCTGATAAGGGAGAACCCATGGCCAATCCGTCAGTTTGGTGATACATTTTACCATCGAATACGAAGTAGTTTTGTTTTAATACCTCCTTAAGTAGTAATAAAAACTCATT